ATATTTCATGTACACCTACTTGCAGAAACGTTGTCATAAAAAATAGAACATTTGAATTTAGTAAAAAAGGAATACATTAAAACAAGACAAAAGAGTCAGCRTTCAGCCTCAGTGATCTTCTTTTGTCTTTTTTAATTTATTCCTTTTTACTAAATACAAATGTCGTATTTTCTATGACAATGTTTTCTCAAGTAGGTGCATCTGTATGTATATATATTAAGTAAATAGAAAATTACATGGTTTCTTGGAGAAGTGAATTTTATCTTCTTGAGTTCAATTTTAATTGTCTTAAAAGACATCTCAATCATTTGCTGYGATCACTTGTGAGATATTCAATGAAACACTCAAAGACAAAATTGGTCCCTCTGCTCTCCTTTAAGTAATGCCCGGAGTAAGAACTAGAGAAGCAAATGGCAAAGGAATGCAAGAAGGTGCTAATTGTGCATTGTATTTAATCCATCCATCCCATTGGTTAAAACATGAAAATCTGCTATAATTTCACAAGTTAGCGAATTTTCTAATATTTTATTTAATGTCCGTTTCCGCTTTCATCAAAGCTTTCTTTAGCTTCAATATTAAGGCAATTTTATGTGGGGAACATTGCAAATTAGGAGCAACTTTTGGCTATTGTTTTGAGTGCTTATGATTGGATAAGAGCTTTTAATACAAAAGAAACTTTGTTTCAAAATAGAGTTTATCCACATTTTATTTCAAAAATGTGTTACCCACAGGTTAATACATAATCATTGTGAAAACCAAGACATTCGTACATGGGGAACTTGCTATGCCGCAGAACAATAGAGAGCTCCCTAGTTCTTTAGCGCATTGTTACTTAATAGCTACAWCTACAAAAAGCTTTTGAATTACAAGCTTTATAACCTGACTTGTCATAGTAATGATATAGCTCTTACCTACGAAGACAATGAGTCTACTTTTCTTTTTACTGTTTTCGTCCTTTTCTGGTGGTAATGACAGTGTTGATTTTTCTCTTTTAGGAACAGTTCTTCCTTGATGGAAACTTTTCTTAACTTTGAAARCAAAATGTTAAAATTAGAACAATAGAATAATGTCTAGAAGTAAAATTTCCTTTTTACAGAGATACGAAATTTATCTGTGAGCATTCTATTGATATATAAGTGAGCAAAGCATACAAGTGAGATATCAATGGAACATGAGATGATAAAATGTYTATAAGATCTCCAAGTGGCCATGTAAAGTTCTTTTTATAATGTATTATATAAATTTTAACTTAAAAGTTAATAAATTTTAAGATAAGTTAAAATAAGTTACATCAATAGTCGAGTTTCGCGATCTCTTTTACGCTGTGTTAGCCTCAATTGTGTGCTAAAATATTCAGAAATGTAGATAAAACTTGTGAGATTTCAAACTATTTCCATTGTCTTCTATACTCACAGATCTCTTGTATTTGCACGGGATGTTGTGAATAAAAGAATTTATTACATGGTTTTGAGGTTAAAACAGCATAAAAGAGATCGCTAAAAGGGTTTATTGATCGTTTTCACCCATCCCCATGCATGAGATTCACAAGATAAAAGACCGGCGGCCATGTTGGAGGAACGAACAATAGATATACCAATGAGAGAAATCCTTTGTTATAAAGTTCCTCCAAGATGGCCGCTGTGACATAACATGCAAACGACGAATAAGTCAAGAAATAGACTATATTGCATAGAGTATCAACAGTAACATGTTATTTTCTAATGTGAAAGATATCACCTTTTTCAGAGATTTCCTGGTATTTCATCGAACTTTTTTATAGTAGTAAACTTATAACTTATTATCTTGCAAACTGAGTGTTAAGCTTAAGTTATTTTAACACTCTGTTCGCAGGGTAAATAAGCTTAACTTATTTTTTTTGTGTTTGTCAAATGGTATTTGCTCACAAAATGTGATTCTTACACTTTGGTTTCTTGTTGTCGCTGCCATCTTCAACTTGCTTTCCATGCTGCTTCCACCATCTAAAGATTGACAAATCACTTATTATTCAATAAAGAAGAAAACACATTTTTTTGTCTTTGTTTTAACACTACAGCATCTTACAATTGCCTTCTTTCCTTTCGAGCATTAGATGCCATTGTTGATGGAACAATTTCAGCTTCACCGCTATGTAAAGACAATCAAATACGAACGGGCAACAAACACACGTTGGCCGGAGTTGGCCGCCATATTATTAATACGAAGATGCATGACATGCATGATGGGATTTTTTGTATAGGGAGTGTCGGCTCCCTGTTCTAAATACAACACAGGAATCCCAAATTGTATTTGTCCTCCAGTGCAAGTTTCAAAAGCGGCTTCAAAATAGCATAAAATCAGTGTCCACAGATCCAAATCGAAAAAAATGTTGATTCTTTTTTTTATTTAATTCGATTTTAAAATATCTAACTGGATATGCCATGAATCGTAACAAGCAGGAGACCATTGCTGATAATAGTAATGGGTTCCTGTAAAAAAAATACAGGATTGTGTGTACGCTATTTACAAGATTTCGATTTTTTTTTTACAGTTTCTAGAAAGGGTGAGGGTCAAGCAGTATTTCGTGACACACGCTATCATGATGACGCCATTTTGTCTAGAACTTCACGGCTGTGAACATCCATTCTTCGACCACAAGCCGGCCTACACACGTAAAAAAAAATGTTCCGAGCATTTACACTCCAAAATCCGATTCGAAAGGTWTCCCACATTCAACTTCGTGGGCTCTGTTCTGCATCCAAAAAGCACATTGGAGTTGTAGGCACCGGCAATGTTGGGTTTAATGTAGCTTCTTCACTTGAACAAGCGGGTCACACTGTCACGGCGTTYGACTTGAACAAAACCAATTATGATCGCCTGCAAAAAACGAAAGTGATCTTAGCGAGCTCAGTTGACGATGTGCCTAAGAATGCAGACGTGCTTATTACTGCACTACCTAAGCCTATGCACGTGAAAGCAGTTATGGAAGAAGGCAAGCTACTTCACCGTCTTCGCCCAAACAGCATTTGGATCGATCATACGACCACAGACTACAACCAAACAATACGATTGTGCAAACTAGCATGTGATATGGGTATCCGTGCAATAGAAGCTCCCTTAACTGGAGGTATGGCTTTGCTGAGGAAAAATATGATGACGGTATTTGTAGGTGGAGACGAAGACGCCGTGCAAGAATCTAAGCCTTTGATCGATGTTTACACCGGGACATTTTTGTACTTTGGGGCTGCAGGAAAAGCTACAATTGCTAAAGTGATTTCAAATATGCTCGCAGGGGCTCATCTCATCGCTGCTGGMGAAGCGCTCATGCTGGCCAAGAAATCTGGGCTAGACATGGAAAGCTTTTTTGATGGAATCAGATTGAGTGCTGGAAACTCGTACGTCTTTGAAACAGAGGTCCCACTCATGTTCAAAGGTACATATGATCCAGACTTCACCATCGATCTCCACTGCAAAGACCTGGGACTGGGAAGGATAATATCGAATGCCCATGGAGTACCTTTCGACAAACTAGAAATGATGGAACTAACAGAAACAATGTACAGGCGAGCAATGGAGAGATATGGAGGCCATGTTGGATCCAGTTTTCCTGCAAAGATGATTGAAGATGATTTGAAAACACCCCAGAAATTGGAAAATTGGGAGAAGTGGGATTACGCTGTTGAGAGAGTTACTGGAGGAAGCTTTGGGGTTGTACAAATGAAACCATCCAAGGAAAAACATAATTAAATCGTTTATAAAATAGAATTTTAATTTGTATTCCCAGTAATAAAGTATATATGCAAATGATGCAAACCGGAAGTGGAACAAGCGGAAGTCATAAAATCATRACMTAGCTTGAATCTCACCATCATGCTAATRACGCTAATAGCCCTGTTTGCGGTTAGAAAACAAGTTGCGCGAAGAATAAATTTTGATGTTAGTTGGCACTCTTATTTATTCATTTTTTTAACAGCAAAAAGGTCAATTTTATAAGTAACCAATGCACCATGATTTTGAATTTCGTAGAAAAGGTCCTCACTTTTGGTCTTTTCCTCCAATGACTTCATTGTGGTTAAAATGCATGATGAAAAGTATTGGCATGTCAATCACCCTTTCATTTATAGAAACCTTATGACGCTTTTACAATTTCTCAGTACTTTTCTCATTATTCTTTATTTTATTTAGTCACACAAGCTACTTTTATTATAAAATATTAGCCAAAATCATTTTTCTTGTACATCTAAATCGTTCACCAAAATCATGACTTCTCGTGTTTTACAAAGATTTTGTTATATAGATGTAACTTGTCTCCTCTGCATGCGTCCTCTCTCTTTGAACTTCGTCTGCTGCTCCTTATTTATTATTTTAATTTGTTCGACTCTTTGGGTTTTGAATAAATATTATACGCCACCCCCTGGCTGGTCACTCTAACCTTGTCTCATCCCTTCTCCTCCTGGTTTTACACCTTAGACAGATGGGATTCTCACATCAATGCCCCATGTTCGCCATTTTTTGTATCTCGTCAACACTTCCATATTTTAGATTCTACGAGAACCCTATTATTTCTAATGGGATTATTTTCACCGGGCGCTTCATTGATTCTTCACAAGTGTTTTTAAAATTAATCAAAATCAATTGGTTTTAATATAATTCATTGCGCATTTGTTTTTAATTTTCTTCAACCCACTATTATATTACATTCTAGTTTTTGTCTTTTATTTTACATTATTTTACATAAAGAACTACATAAAATATTTATATAGTTTTAATTTTTTTTTCATTGCTGTTTTGAGTAGGAGCTAAATTTAGCTGCTCATTTTTGGATTTAACTCATATTGAGCAGTATTTATTTTGATGGGCCTTCTTGATGCAATTTTGATGGAACCGCATTTCAAATGCACTTTGGCTCTTGTCCTATTAAATTTCAAAGCCAAACAACATAATTTCAGACATGCCTTCTARGCAGAATCGCGAAAATAGTGAGACTTTTTATGAAAACAGCACAACGCGAAATTGAAGCGGAATATGGTMAATTTAATTGCGTCTTTACTGCTCTTCGAGGGGGAATTTAGAATCCAGAGGGGATACAATCTAGACTTATGACTTCAGAAAAAGGGTGGGGGTCAGTCCAAGTTAAACAATGTGAGAGAAGGGGGGGCTTGCTGGGTAACATCTAACTGTACATGATCGAAACAGATCGCAAAACTCAGGAAAACAGTAAGAAGATACCCTCCCTGAGAATTATTGCCCACTTATTCTRGAACCGGAACCTCAAACTGTTCAAAATTTGTCTCAAACACATTTTTTAGAGGTCTTTTTTGAGGGCACGAAGTCTTGCTCTCGTTCCTATATATATATATAATTAATTTATAATTAATTTGAGATGCCATGCATGTCGATGTACACCAAGCTAATTGGTTTCTAATGAAAACCTTYAACTTTTAACTCGGAGAGATTGCATCTGTTTGCCATACTCTGACAAGTAGCATGGCTGAGACTTGCAAACATTCAAGGCTGAGCTCACGAGACGAATGATTTTTCCAGAAAGCCGCTTCTCATTAGCATAATTTGTTTTCAACCTGAGACAAAGCGACTTCTGAAGGATACGGCTTTCATCAAAAGCTGTGTAGTTTCCCACCGAAAATCAACAGAGATGAAATCTGCCTATAAACTGAAGTGTTGCGTCCTCTCTGGTCTCATACTGAGCCCGTATTTAAAATCACGTCCGCTGACCAAGAGAAGAGATATTTTCATACCATGATATGATATCATGATATCATAAAAGCAAATTTTGATCCTGTTTTATGGCAAAAAAACCTCCGGATTAAAATTATTCAAGTCGTTGACGACTTATTGACAAGCTATTCCACTCCCMAAGCATTCTGATGAAGGGGGTGGGCCTATTTAATTGGGGAAGTTTGTCTGTAATCCATTGCCAATCAATCCGTATAAAGTTTCAATTTGTCAAATGTATCAACCTCAAGTAGCCGGATTGCTTTGCGAACGTCTGGATTATAGTCATCCAAAGCCACAGRGTTATACACGGAGGTATTGATCGCTTGATCGCAATGGATTSCATGAGAAAAGCTGCTTCTCCWCTAGCATGGGTAAGTCGATAACTAATTCTTATTTTTCCGTTGAATTTTCGTGTATAAACTATCCAGTTCGCTTGTGAGCTATAAAACTTTTATAAACTAAAAATAATGCGACAAAAAAATTAAGTGATAGTGATATGGAACGAAGCTATTTATTCCTCTTTTGTTTCAGCTCTATTTTATCAGCATTAAACTCTCGCGTAAATCTTGTCGCGAGTCACGATAAAGAATCTTTATCTTTTCCATCTGATGGAATAAAATGTACTTAGAACTACAATGAGCGATTTCGATAGCACACTTAACTGTTGATATCTTTCTCTTGACCAATAAGACACTTGGCTAATTAATGTGATAGGTACAATTAAAACACCTTCGGATTTTTATAGTGAAAAATCGTGGTGAGTTATACTTCGCTATTATACTTAAGCTGTTGATTCAATTATTTTCGGTGTCATGTATTTCCGTCCATGGAGTTATTATAAAACAAAAGGTCAAAAAGATAAGACATCCTGAGATTAGATAAACTTAACYCCTGTTTTGTTTGTGTATACAGAGTCTACCTACACTTGCCATGTTTATGTTTTAGGACTTTTAGTGCCATTTTAGCCAGAGAGRGAARCTGATTGATATTTATAAGAAAGGTKTTAATTCTTGTTCAGGAAGTGCTTTGTGACGGCATTTCAGTAGAGCATTGAAATTGTGAAACCCAAAAATTCATTACTTACATTTTTTCCAGTGTAATGCTTTAATCATTTTAGATTTGAAAAGTCTTACATTGTAAGTTATTTTTATTCAGGAGGAAGAAAAAATCCAAAAACTTCAATGAAAAAAAAAAATCCTTCAAAGCACGCACATGTTGAAAAATAATTTGTGAAATACTTTTCTGTACTACCCACTCCCCTCTCCCTCCCATCCACTCCCCTCCCCCTCCCCCTCCCCCTCACGTTTTGAAGAAACTGCACTGTCCCCAGAAAGGCAACTGTAGTGTGACTACTCTTTCTCTCTCTATGAATCATTTCTTATTAGCTTTCGTTCATTTTCAACAGAGATTGSTTTGGTGTATCATCATAGAAGCAGCTGTCATCCAAGCACAGACAAATGTCGAAGGTACATTTCGTGTAAAACTCAGGTTACATTTCGTGATAGCACTAGATGCTTTTAGAGCGCTTACCCGGCCTGCATCTACATGTCACGCGATAAATGATGTCACATTCGGTAAATTGGCAATATTCGCTAAGACTTTTTTCTCAAGTTTGATTCAGATACTTATACAAGTTAAGACTAGTTGCATTCCTTTTCTCCTCGCTAACATAATATATTGTGCTTGGAATATACGTGACTAATGGTACAAGTTGACAATTTGGTCCAGACAATTTAATTGGACAGCTTCCAAGATCACGCAATMMATGAAGTTAGGTGCTGTAACTGACAGGAAACGTCATCAATATCATCARTTAGAGTTGGTTTGCGCCAAGGTCTGAATTAAATAGGCAGTTAAAGGAAGAGACGCTTTCTCTCATTTTGACCATGGTAAAGTGTTGTGTGACTCCACACTTTTACCGCGCAAACATTCGTTAATTGATTTGCCAAAAACCTTTGGGGGTGACATATGCCTCCATGGCCAGCTGGCGTCGAAAGTATTTTTTAATTAGTACCCAATAATCGGCAGCCACACAACGTATAAGAAGGAAGCGCGCTGTTTCATCCATTTCTAGTCGTTTAACTCACTTAGTGCCTTTATAAATATGTTTTTGCGACGTCACGAAAAACTATGACGTCACGAAATGATATTCCAAACTATAGAAACTAAGTTAGCTTCAGAKTTTTTATTGTACACTGGTTTCAGTTATAATGACGGAGTGATATAGCTTCTTCCATGGCATGAATATTACAGTGTATCCTAATACAGTTGATGTCATTTAGACCAATGTTTTAACTTTGCGTGTAAATGGGGAGGAATGTGCCAGGAAGACAGCTTTGGATTTCCTGAATGCGTTTGTCCTCTGAGCTGTCCCTTTTCTAATGGTGTTGTATGCTCTACCTATGGTATGGAGTTCAACAGTGCTTGTGAAATGCATCGATTTGGTTGTGGTCACGTGATCAGTATTGCAGTCGCGAACAAAAATAATTGTACCAAAAATGGTAAGATTGACATGATATGTTACTTCAAATTACATAAACATTCGMGTGATGAGGCCGATCTGGTTTTTATGTATTTCAGGGACCAAGGTTTGCCCAAGTGTGAACGAGTTGCTTCAATTTCGAAACCGTTACATAGAATGGATACAGATTGTTAAGTTATCGACACTTGATCGACGGGTCAACCAACTGTCTATCAATGAGAAAATGAACATAGTTAAGGTGGGTTAATCTTTCAAAGATTCAAATGAATGTGATGCTTAGTGTGTATTATCGTTAAGTCTGTATTATCCTGGTCATTTGAGGGTTTGGTTCATTTCGATAGAAACCTCCGAAACCAAATATGAAGGAAAAGCGACAKTTTGAYAAAGTCCAATAGGCAATGTACATGTAGACATGCATATTGTACAACGCCGTATTGTACAACAAAGTCCACGTACTTATTTCTTTGAACGTACTAATAGTTCTTTGAACTASTTCCCCCAAATCCGTTTTCCATAAAACAGATTTTATGAAGTATTTTGACAAAATGCACGAAAAAAGGTTTGAGGAAAACACTTCCCGTCATGCTTTGCTCAAGAAAATGACGTCAATGCACATTGCTTATTGTATGCAGTCGTTAAGTTCTCCCATATACGAGCAWTTCATTAAGTTGCAACTCATTTTTCACCAGTGGGAGTTCAAGGTACACGATTTTGATAGCAACGGTTTACTGGGCGACGAAGAAATCAAGATTTTGCTTGAAGTGATGAAGCACGAACCTTGTGGACATGGCTTTATTAGGTCATGCGCAATGGTGGACGGCAAACCTGGAATTAATGAGGAAGAATGGGGGATTTGCTTTAACTTAGCAGGTACATAAACATGGACTGTAAGGAAAAGCATATTGTTTTTCATTTTAAAAAATACGTAGATGTTTGTAATAGTCTCCTTCACAGTTACCTGCGCCATCTTGAAAGGTAGCCGTGCCTGTACATCGAAGCGAGACAACCGTACGTTGAGCGAGCAAGATATCTGTGAATAATTGTCTGTAGGAGTGAAAGGTTTCTATAATTGCACGCTCAACGGTCGTCTCGCTTCGATGCAGAGGCACGGCTACCTTTCAAGATGGCGCAGGTAACAGTGAAGGAGACTATTAGCTAATTTTCATTTTTTTWAATTTTTTTGTCGATTTTTGTATTTGCAGAGCGACCATACGAACGCAAACTTCGCTAGAAGCAAAGAATACACAACATCAGCGTTTGCAATTACTTTAATAGTAGTCATAAGTCACTAGGTCTTAATAAATAGTTTTATTTTTAATAAATTTATGATATTCTAATATTTACAAATTTAAGTTATGCGCGGATATCTTGAAGAGTTCTTGTTGATACGAGATGTCTAACTCGTGTAATTCATTTAATTTTATAAGAACTTCTTTTTGCGTCATATTGAAAGGTAACCATACCTTTTTCTCGAAGCGAGACGACTCGTTAGTTTGGAATAATGGACTTCCAATAAAAACCTTTGTTTACACTTATCGACAATTATTCAGTAGTATCTACCAGGCAAGTTCACCGGTCGTCTCGCTTCTATGTAAAGATATGGTTACATTTCAAGTTGGGTCAGGGGAACGTAGATGAGACTTTTGTCAAGTCGTAGCTTTACAAMCTTGAAGTTTTCACCTGTATAAATATCATTTGCGAAAATCTCTGAATTCCAGTCGTCTATTATTTTTATGTTTCTAACAACAGGTTCAAAATGTTTCTTTCTGGTTTTTGTTCTTTTCTTTTCTGTCCTTATCCATTAAATGCTATTGTACTTCACTTTCTTGATAAGCACTTTTTGCAGTAACAATCTCAAAGTTTGTCGATCTRCACTTTCTACTGATCCTGCTGGGACGCTGCGTCATATTTTCCTTCACTCGACATTTTTTCCTCGTCGTTGTTGAGTTGTTGAGAAGCGCGATTTCGTTTGAAAAACCCACACTGAAAACATTGAATATAGTTTTCTTTAAATGTTTGGCTACATTAATCAACTAGTTGTCTGAGATTCAAACAATCAAATGCATCGATTATTTCATCAACTAGACTTTTTTCGGCATCGTTTGAACAGTAGTCAAGTGGTGAAGTCGAGTTTCTAGGATGATAATTACAGGTAWAAACCGATTTCTCTCAGCCACATACAACTTCAATCTCCAAACATAAAAAGTTTAATTTAAAGGATGKTTTTCAAATATAACTAACCTTATAAAGAACAAATATGACCAATGCGAGTAAAATAAGACCAGCCAATACAGACAGAATAATAATCCACACAGGGGTAGACTCCGTAGGTGTTTTGCTATCTTTTGGATTCGTTCGAAGCACAATCTGGACAAAACCAAAGTTTATTAACAGTAATAATGGTAATGATTAAAAACCCTGTGATTTACGACCCGCTACCACTGAAATGTCTTAAGGTAATTATTTTACTTTTCTTGAAAAAAMAAAMAACAAAAAAACCTGAAAGTGCGCAAAGCCTTTTGGTAGTTTTCATAATATGACGCCATAGCGTAATAGACTGAAAGACTTACTGTCACGTGATTGTTCTTGCCCTTATTAGGCTCGGTGATAGATGAAGGGGCAGATACCACTGCTGACGTGAAAAGATCAATAGAGCCAACATCAGCCTAAACAGGACATAAAATGATCTATTTACTYGAAAAGCAAAGAAAATTGACACTTATTCTTATCGACCAGTTTAGAATCGAAATTGTATCTATGGYAAGAGCGATGTGTACCTTCACAAGGGTATTTTGCCAAACTCGTGACGTCATTATGATTTTGACATCATTCCCACTGTCAAGTCGACCAAGTTGACATGTGAAAGAGAGGCATTCTTCAGCTTTGCAGTCCTAAAGGATAATAAAGRGACGCGATTTAGAATAAGACAGCCTAGTCCCCAGGCGTTCTACTCTGGGTTGAGGAATCACTCCGTGACGTCATAACAATGCCAGAAACGAGGAACGCCTGGGGAATTGGCTGAAAATAAGATATATAGAGAGAAAACGATGCAAGGTTCTGATGGAAAGGATCGAATRGATGGATAGATGTGAAATGAAAGTTCTGCACAATAGATGTATAAAACAGATAAATCAAGTGCAGGGAACACATACCGTTTCTTTGTTTTCTCGTTTAGTTCTCTGGTCCGTAATTGACGAAGTGAGTCTTTTATCAACGATACCAGGTGCTTTTACATTAGTTGAGTTCTTAGTCTAAAAACATCAATTTTGATTTCAATGGAAATTTATAATAAATCATGTGATAGTTTGTGCGTAATACATACCTTGATGTTGAGAGGATTAGTGATAACGTCACAACTGGCCGCACTGCCCTCAACCTGCACATGAAAATACACAACRTGAGATTAAAGCTGCAACACTTGTACATCAGGAACTGCGGAGACTGGGAAGGGGTTGAGGACGATAGAGCCCCAAAATTTGTTTCCTTTTTTCTAGATTATTCTGCTATTCTCCCAGTCAGTCTATTATAGCTTTTAAAAATAACCTAGCGCTCTTTTCACTGACACCCCGTGGTTTTTGGCATGTTATATCGGTGCTTACCATGACATGGAGAAGATACAACAGATAGCTCTCAGGGTCATCTTTGTTATGTTTCCATGGGACGCTAATCTTTACAACTGAGCCATCGACTGCACTAGGACCGTTATTTCTAACCTAAAGGATATAAGTACATAGTATGTTTATAGATGATTCTAACCAGATTGGCATGAGTATTGGTTTATGTTCCACATATTTCTATYCCTATCAAACATAATTATTTCAAACACAGCATTTTTGGATCAAAACCTTCACGTAAATTTGCAAGGTATATTATTTKTGYGTTCAGTCACATGATCTGTTCAAGATAGAGACCAAAACTATCGCCGCCATATTGGATGAAGTAAAAMGTTTGAAAAGAAAAGCTAAAATGCRTGTTGAAGCGAATGCTACCACTTGTAATCATAAGACGACAAAAATTACAACATCCGAGTAATAAAAAATATGAAATATGCCTTAGTAGAAATATATATTTCTGTAGACATTTGGCTACTCCAATGCTSACAAATAGACGCTCTTAGAGCGTTTACTCGCGTCTTAGCGAAAGTTATCGATCTTTTTGAACAATGATCATGTGATTTGAGTGTCTTCAGTCTGACAAGGTGGCGACCTAGATTTATTAYTCTTTCTATCTGTAAGCAATGATTTCAGTTCTTACTATGACGATCTGTGACACTTCAGGGCCGATGTCTTTCTCTTTCTTGATGTCTTTAAGAGGGACTGCTGTTTTTCCATTATAGACCACCTGATCGGGCACCGACGACCTATCATTGTAACATAACAATATAAGCTGTTTCATCCTTATAAGGCARTATATCATAGTCATTACATTATGCAGAAAGTAAGGCATAGATTTAATAGCTAAATGTATATTGTTGCCTCTTGCTTTCTCTCTCACTCTGTCCCCTTCTTTCGTTTCCCAAAGCAGTATGGGTATACGAATATAGATAATGATAGAAGACTACGGACAATTCACGTGTCAAAATGCAACCATTTATACCTAGCTTGCTAACAGGCGTTCCTGCTGGGGGCCGAGAAGGAATGAGGAGGAGTAGCGAAAGGGAACAACTTTACCAAAAACGGATCACTGAACAAAATTAGAGCAAAAACTCCGAACAAACAACAACGACCACAACGAAAACCAAGCTTTATATATTTGTTTTTGAGCTGGGAATAACAGGAAATTAACACCCAACAATGAGCCAAATTTTTATATGACTTACCCGGTAATACTTAAATCAGCTTCAAACTTGACGTTCACCAAAAGCTTGACTTTGTTATTCAATGGATCAGCGTCTCGACTCGGGCTAAACAAAAGAACAAACTAGTTAAAATTTTGATTTCATTCAAATGTGYAAAGTTTGATATGATATTGAATTGAGAACTTGGTCGTCATTAAAAAATGTAACACTACTAGATAAACGAGGAGGTATCCCAGGGGCCTGTGCAGGGGTTTTATAAGCGGTGGATTCAGCTGGGGTTTCAAAACTGCAGTGTTGGACTACCCAACAAAGCGAATKTTAATAAAGTCATTAAATTATTAATTAATTAATAATCATTTTTACCTGGTAGCAAAGAGTTCAATCTGGAATTGTCTAATATCGCCTTTGATTTCTGATGTTGTGAACTTCAAATCAAACTTTTTCTGAAATAAATCAGTATAAACATTAAAGATCTGATGAGTATATTAGGTGGAGAAAAATGCATAAAAGAAGATTAATTGTAATCAATGAGAATRTATTATACCTTTGATTTGCCAACGAAAGGCATTCCAACAAAACACTCTGCCTTTTCGGTGTCTTTGTCTTCAAATGTGACTCTACTGCAYCGAACTCCCTGCAAATTCATATTTATTCATTGATGACTGACTATGATTGACAGATTAATTGATTTACTGCAAACTGATTGAGATTGACATAATCATTTATTTATTGATCAGGAAGTCCTTACATACCTTAGTTTCTGTACCAATGTACCCTAGTAGGGAGGGGTAGGTAACTATAACCATTCCAGGGTARGCAAAATCGTCTGCCTTGTTGAGCACTGTGATTGACACATTCATTTCGTTTGATACACCGATACGAAGGTCTTTATAACCACTAAAACAACAACAAATATTGTAAAAACAAATAAACATTCAAAAGAAGGAGATAGAGAAGAAAACAGGCAAAACAAAACAAATAAAAAATTTTGCAAATTCAAGGATTTTAAAGACTTACCCAAGAAATGAAACACGACCGCTGACTGCCATATCAGGTACACATTCTTGATCCTTTCCACACTGCTTCTGAAACTGAATCTGTTAAAGTACTTGTCATTAGTCAAAAAATAATAAAAATGGTAGTTTATATGGCCGAGAAAACTATCCTTTTAACTACAAGAGTGATGAATATCATGATATGCAATAGAATTTGCGAGAATTAGGAAACAAAGAGCAGAGCTAAGGCTCTTCYCGTCAAAAAGAGCGGGAAATGCGAACGCGCGTTATCGCCAGAGAGCCAAAAAAGGCGGGAAAAGTGTAACATTTCAGTCCGGAGGACGTGAGTGGAAGTCTGAGTTGTAAGCGTTTCATTTTCCTACTCACACAAAGAGGAACGTGGCTCTAAACAATAGAGTTCGGCTACGATACTTGGCGGCATGAGGAGTCAATTAACACAGTCGAGATGGAAACCCTTCTATTGTTCATTTATTGATACGTAATGCATACAATTTTTATCATGTACGTACCGTTGCTCGTGCAGATCTTCGTCGAACATCGTCGTAGTCGTCCAGTATGGGACAAACAGTGCAAGGTGCATTTAACTCAAGGTCGTAATTTACGTCGAACGTTAGCGGTGACAGCAGATCTCCGATACGCTCCCTTTCCTAAAGAACGCAAAATGGTTTCTTTAGATAGGTTATGGATTTTTTTATATGATATGCTCTTTTATAAACATTAAAGAGGCTTCCGACTGTAAAAGATACCAGCCCGAACGGACACGGGCGAGCTGGTTAGAAATAGAGACTGAGCTCAAGAGCTTGGAAAGCGTTCCGAACGCAAGAAGTGTATCTGTTGCTTCTAAAGTGTTCTCCGTCTCCACCTCCAAATTTAACTAAGTACCAGGCTTATATACTCATTTGAAATAACCATTATATAACGCAAATTATAATAATGATATAAAAGCGTGAGCGCAAGTCCCGCTTAATGTAAGTTTTTTGTCAGCAATATTGTAAATATTCTGCATGCCTCTGACTGGATAATTCAAAGTGAATGTGAATATTTTTTTTACCCTCAAATAGACGCGATACACGGGCTCGCACTTCCATTCATTTTGYTTGGTTATAGAGATGTTGCTCATCCAGATAAAAGCTTTTTGAGACGCATTTTTYCCCAGGAAGAACATCCTTCTGAGAAAGTCTGAATGCATGTCTTGGTCGAGGGTCAAAGAGTAGGATAGATCAATTCCTGTAAAAACAGAGCGTTGGTCAGTTAAAGTTCTTATAACAAATGTTCTAGCTATTTTCACATTAAATCGCTTAGCATAAACAAAAAATAACCAAAAATATAGATGGTATACCTTGATTCAAAGGCACTTTGTGAGAATACTTGAAACAAACTCTTGCAGTTAAACTTTTAGGAATAAGAAAGATAGCAAAGTAARTTCATGAACCCAATGCCGCGGCAAAGCCTATTGTCGACTATCAGCTCGTACACTTCATTTGATGGAATATCGATTAATTTGTTGACCTATAAGCTCAAGACGTATTGCCAAGAATTGATGAGCGMGMGCACTAGTTTAGGATCAAATGCTTCACAATATAAAAACACGCCTAGAAAACTCCTCATTTTGGCAGAGGAGATCCACGGAATCACACACAAGATRGCGTCACCTACCATTTGTGCCTTGAACCATCAGCAAAGTTACACATTGAAGTCTTGTTATCTTCTAGGACGATTTGGTTTGTGCTCAGCTCGATTTTAGCTTGTACCTTTACAATTGGCCTGGTTCTGTGTTGTGGATAACATTCAAGGTTAATAAACAAAATATGAACATAAATAATCTGAACACCGGTTATTGTCCGAGCAAGAGGACCAAAAAATATGTTTGTGTGACCTTCAAAAACCGGGGCAAGGTTCCTCATTAAGATTTCACTGAAGGAATTAACCACCTGTGTAATGGCTAAATATCTCTACTTTTCCAAATGTTTAAGAATAGAATTTATGGCATTGCGGGGTGCTTTAATTATTATTGTTCAAGTATGGGGAACTCGTATAGCCACGGCGTTAGGGTCAGTACGTACACRGTGCCGTTATAGGGACACCCCACCTTAATATCTCTACTAACCTTAATAGAACTGTCCTGTCAGACRAATAGGCTCCAACAGCTATATCTACAGATATCATAAGTAACGATTAATCATGACTTGCTTCAACGCTGCCAAGTATATACAGAAAAAGTGTCTTTCTTACCAGGATATTTATTATCGTCCACATCGACTCCACCAGTCAGGGAGTAACCAAAGGAAGCCAGTTTATTATCACCAACCATGGCCGCACTGATTTTCTGATGTATAAAAATCAAGTTACATGGATTAGCAAAACACATCTTCAATACTCTCTATTGTTAGTTTATCCCACATGGCGGCGGCGATAGCTTTTTGCCATTTGTTTCTGACTGATGGGATTTCTTGGACATGTTGTGACAGCCCAACCGCAGTTAGCTACAGGTGTCTGGTCTCATACCTGCCTATACTTGGTGTCAATGCCTTTTTTCGTTCCATGGTAAATGTAAACTGCACCCCGTCCGTCATCGCCACCATAAGGTGCACCAATCACCACATCTGAAACATTCAACAATAGATATGAGTTAACCTCTCTAAAACAGTGGATAAAAAAAACCTATAAGAATTATATTGTGTTATATTGAGTTCTAACTTACCATTGTAGCTGTCTTTGTTAAGATCACCAGCTGAAGCRATTGAAAATCCAAAGTTTGCTTTKGGTTGTCGATCTCCATCAAGTGTCATTCCATCCATGATATTCAAAGCTCCCTGAAAATAGAAGTAATCATCACAATACAGCGTAAACTATACAAATGCTAACAATATCKCTTACTAAATCAGTAAATATTAGAMTTAAGACGTATCCAAGATTTCGATTGGGTGTAAACGATGTTTAGCCAAGTTGGACAAATTCAAACAATGGCGGAAACAAAGTGRATTCGATAAGTATATAATGATGTTGTTTGCTTACCAGTCCATTATTGACGTAGACAAACACACGCCCTTCATCACCATCGTAACTGTATCGTGGAGCACCAACCAGAAGATCTGACATACTGAATACAATGAGAGATATTATTATTATTGTACTCGTTATAAAATTTTGTTTTACTGAACGTGCTATAAACAAAAAATCGTTAATAGTCACTCGTAATGTTTTGAAAGTTTTCAAATTGCACGTTATAAGAACTTTTAAAACATTACGAGTGACTATCAATTCCAAATTGTACTCAAGGTCGTGCGATTTCCTATACAACTATGAAATACGTTCGGCCAAAACTTTAGTGTGCAATTAATGTTAAATTCTTTGGCGCTTTTCAAGGTTGATTGATTGATCAAACGATTGACACACTGTCTGATTAACT